TATTCTTTCTAACTTAATTTTCATTATTTTTGGATGGTTATTTAATTATTTTTTCAACCAAAAATGTATTAAAAGCGATGCCAATCAATATTATTTGGAATTTGGTTTATTTATAAATGTTATTGTTTAATGTTTAATAATAATGAAATTTTAGATATGTTCATAATTAATTATTTTTGTACATAGGTATTTCAATTTTATTAAATAGTTTATAATTTATATGGACATTGAATAATTAACAGTTTGTAACTGTATTTTGTAAACATTATATTAAATATAAAATTTTATGTTTTAGAAACTATATATTTGTATTCAAAGTTGATAAGTTAGACAAAGAACAAATACCTGGTGGACAAAAAGGATTCTAAGTTTTGGGACATATTGCGCCAGGGCAATCGTTTACAGGAGGATGGTTCTACGAACCAAAATACAGCATTTTTACCAATACAATCCATCTTTATTTATGGCTCATTTTTCTTTTAGAATACAATGACATTCCTGATATTTTTATTGACGTTGCACTAAAAAATAAAGTAATACTAATTTAGTAATACTAAACAAAAATAATAATTATTTTTACAAATAGTACCTTTTACTTTTCTATGTATGTATATAAGGTTACATAGTTTTCCTTTATTTACCAGGTAATTAATTTAATGTAAGACACTCATTATTTCAAAAAGTATTAATATTTTTAAAAATGTATTAATTGTTCTGCCGTTCTTTAGATGAAGGGATTTTTCCTGATCTTGGAAACTTTGTTCTAGCAGCTGTTCTACAGTCTGGAGATGTCTCCCATGTTATTAATTATAGACCCATATCTATTCTGTCCCAAGTTTCAAAATTATTTGAATCTACTCAATAAAATTCAGCCAATTGTCAATCCTAAAGTTATGGACAAGCAGCATGGGTTCCGGCAGGTCGATCTACCACTACAGTTAATGCGGTCTTTTGCAATCATATATTAAAAGCCTTTAACGCCCACTCCCAAATTGACGTCATTTACACTGATTTTGCGAAAGCTTTTGATCACTTGTCCCTTATATGCATTCTGAAAGAAACCGGCTAGCAACTTCTTTCATGGGTTCGTTTGTACATCGATAATAGAAAGCAGTGGGTAAAAATACATGGTATATGTTCTACTGTCCTTCCCATATCATTAGGTTTTCCCCAAGGTGTGCAAGTATCCCCCTTGCTTTTCAGCTTATTCATTAACAGTATCAACAAGGCGTTAAAGCAGGTACATTTCTTAGCGTTTGCGATGATATAAAATTATTCTATCAAGTGAACCTCATTGATCGATTGTTTAATACTACAAAATGATTTAAATAATCTATTTTCCTGGGCTACTAAGTTAGGTCTGCAGTTTAATACTTCTAAATGCCATTCAATGATCTTTAAATGTAAGAGTTCTCCTATTAGATTTAATTACACTGTAAGTGGTTCTTCTTTGGTTCCACTCGACAAATCTGTTAATGATTTAGGTTTTGTCTTTGATCCCAAGCTTAATTCCCTAGCTTGCATACAGAACAGGTCTGCTGCAAAGCTCTCAAAACCCTCAGTTTTGTCAAGCGAGGAGCTGCCAAATTCAAATTAGTATCCCCTTTAAAAGCGCTTTATTGCTTGCTTGTTAGGCCAATCTTAGAATATGGCTCTGTCATCTGGGACCCTCAAACGGCTTGTAATTCAGTCATGCTCGAAAGAGTTCAATGAATATTTTTGAACTATGTTGGCAACACTTTAAAAATTGAGTGTCCCATCCACGACTTTACGCCAGTCCTAAAATACTATAAATACTATAGCAAACCGTAGGTAAGCAGCACATCTCACCTATTTGGCCAAATTATTGCAGGGGAAAATTAACTCACCGTACTTACTATCCCAAGTTTCTTTTAACATTCCAGTCCAAACCTCTCGCCATACTGTTCCTTTTTCACTTACCAAATCTTCAACTAACTATGGTCAAAATGAACCACTACGTCGCTGCATGTGTTTAGCTAATTTAGACTCTTCCTTCTCACTAAATAATTTTTAATTTTTCTATGTATAAACTATTTATTTTACTAAATTGTAATATTGTAAAATGGGCGAAAGCCAGTGATGTATTATAAAATAAAATAAAATAACCGTGCGGCTTTACAAAGCTTTTCAGAAATATGGAAATCACAAGAAGAACTAGGCCAAGACTTTATTACAGTATGATCTGTTAGTTTAAAATATTTATATTGTTGTATCAATGTAAGAGAATAATAATTATTTAAATGTATGTTGTATGTTTTGAATACACAGGACTATTTCCCAAATGAAAATAATGCATTAGCACTCAAGAGAGATCCAAAATGTGATTGTTCAGACTATTCTACACCTAGTGATGCGTTTACCAAAGATAAAGGTATTATAATAATTGTATAAACTGTAAATTCTACTCATTGAATAACAACAAATATCTTACACAATTATAATATTAGATGTAGGAAGTACAAATAATTCCCAACTAGTTTTTACATTGAGTGATATTGACTATCCGATTGTTGAACACTATGAAGAGCCTTGTTCTAGTCATGTAATAATGTATACAACAATTGATCGTGATGATGATGAAGAAGCTGGTAGTAGATCACTTTTGTTAAATAGCCAAGCAGAAAATTGGAAAAAAATATGTGTCGAAGATAAATTAATTTTTCACACTGAAAGTGATATTGAAATTGCATTTATAGAAAAAAATTAACCTAAAGGTATGGAATATAAAATAATTTAATACAATTAACTTAATTGAAAATTCACTGTTTGATGTTAGTGATATCTTCATACAGCTTCATCATTTTTTTTTAAAAATATAATTTGAATATTTAATTTAATTGTATTTCACATAAAAGATAATTATTTTAAATTGAAATACTTAATTACATTTTTTATTCAAATACTCTAAAATTATATATTTTTTATCCATGTTTCATACTTAATGAATATTTAAATATCACTTTTAAATTAATAGTCAAGTGTTTCAATAATTATTTTATTATTAAATAACAATCGAGTTACAACCAATTGAAGAAACCTTAGAACACAAACATGAAAATATCAGACCAGACTATCAAGATGAGTTCCCAGTAATAACAGTTACGATTTGATCTTCTGGATCCTAGTGTTGGATTCCCTAAACCTGAACGATACTATACGTACACACCAGTCAAAAGAATAAGTTTCAAAGTTCACTTTGATTGTCTGGCATTATTAACTGTCATTGATCGTAATCCAACATTATTGGAACTATTTATTACCATTATTCTTGCAACATCAGTTGCTGTGTTAGGTGCTTTTGTATGGTACTTTAAATTCTACAGAGATATTCACGCATTTATTTTCTGTTTTGTTATGGTTGGTTGTCAGTATTCCTTAGTTAAATCTGTACAACCTGATGTGGTATCTCCTACACATGGATTTAACAAAATTGTAGTGTAAGTTGTAGTCGTCCAGTTTACTTCATAGTTCATACTATTCACATCCATACTTCTACTAACACACATTCAACTAAACTCTGGCCAAACATTTTACCAACTTAAATTTTATGGATTCACTTTGCATATTTTATATATATTAGAAACTATATTCCGTTTATTATCAAACTTTTTATTATGCTTACAAATTACTTTTAGTTTGGGATTATTGCCTCAAGTTAATACTTTTTATGTATACTCTGGAACAAATTGATATACATTTATTTGGAGGTAACGCGACTAGTTCACTAAAAGCATCAGTATTAAAAAATTTGTTTAGCTGTATCTATTTTATAATATGGATTTTCATATGTAGCATTAAATGTTGGTTTGGATCTTCAAGAAATGTGTTTTTCTCCTTGTTCTGTGCATTGCTCACTGCCATATCTTACCATTTAAGTCTCAGCTCCAGTGATCCAGCTCCTATATTAAATATTCTAAAAACATATTTGTGGCCCAATGAAGATATATTTTCTAGGCCTGATATGGAATATCTTAGGCCAAAAAAAAAAACTGAAAAATCAAAGAAAAAAGGTTCTGAACAAAAAGAAAGTGAACGTGAAGAACAAAATGCATAATATTAAAATATATACATTATATGTACAAGACAAATAGAAAATATTATAATATTTAAATTGACATAGGTAAAGAATTAATAAATCAAAATAGGAATCCATAAAGCATAAAGGCCAAAAGCATAATATTTAATTAAATTTATGTTTACATTTTTCACAAATAATATCAGTCAATATAGGTTAATAACTTAGTACTATTTAGCTAAAACTATTTGTTCCTGTATAAATATGATTTCTATTGTGACCAAAAATATAATACTAAAAATTTGTTATCTAACAACAAAATGCAGACAATAAATAAAAGAAATTGTGTAAGTAGTATATTTCATTATTTTAATTATACTACAAACTATACTTTTACTGTTAAACAATCAGTAATTTATCTAATATTAATAAAAGAATAAAATATTTTTCCTAAAATCTATTTGTACAAAAATGATAATCTAAGCCTAAACATAATAATCATTATGTTTAGAATTGTTATTTTGCTCCACTAACAAAACAAGTATTTTAACATGAAAGCATAACACATAAAAATAATATATTAAGACACTATTAAATTAAAGTTTATTTTTTGGAACCAATATTAATTAAATATAAAGTGAATTATTTACTTCACCAGTTAAATTTTACAATTATTTTTAATATTTAAAAACCCTATTCCAAGTAAAATGTTAACATGTCAACTTTAAATATTACATAATAATTTAGAAATTAATATATTAATAATACTCGATAGAAATGTAGTACATCCTCATATTAAATACCTTAATAAATAATTAAAATTACAGTTAATGGTTAGAGAAATGTCTGATTTTATACTTAGATGTATTAAAATTAAGGAAATTTCACATATTAATAATAGGTATGTTAAGTAAATAATAATTTAACAAACCCTTTAGTTATCCACATGAGTGACATGTACATCTTATGTTGCCTTTCGTCGTAACCATTTTATATCAGAGTTAATTAAATGATTCAAAACTTTATTTGTCTTTTGATTAAGTATGGAGTTTTCTTCGTTTTCATAAAATGTAATACCTGGTTGAAAAGCATATTTTTTCTTTTCCAGTCGTTTTTTATTAGCAAACACAATATCATGCCTTTCTGTTTTCTTCCAAAAATAATAAAAATGAACAAGTTCACCAACTTTTCTTGTAGGCACTCTACTCTGTTGAATCAGACGGAAGTTTTTGTTAAATTTACGAATACCATTTTCAAAATTTTTGAATTCTTCTTCCGACCATGGTTTCATAATGGCTCTTTGATCATTTAAAACAAATCGACGTAATGCTTCTTTAGTGTTAAATCCGCATTGCAAAAGTAAAAATAAAGCGTTTTCATAATCTCGTACATGCTTATTTGTACCGTGAAAAATTTGATGAAAATCACAAAGATAGTCATCAATAACTGCATCGGTTGTATTATGAGGGTACCAGAGAAGTTTATCAACATTTAGGTATGGTAGATCATCTCCATACTTGGACAATCTATCAGGCATTTTTGCTTGATAATCACTACCAACCTTTATAGTTTTTTTCTTCACTTCACCAAAATCACTACCATCAGTAGGATCTGAATAATCAGAACGATCGTTTGTTACTCGCTTGGACATTATTTCGAGATTTTAAATCTGAAAAAATAATAATATATTCCTTAATTACCTACATTGTATATTAAAATATATTTGAAATTTTACCAAACAAAATTACCCTAAGATTAGTTGGGAAAAATAAAACACCCAAATCTTTTTTAAACAAATATTTATTTGTGTACCTAATATACAATTGATTGTATAATGTATAAACTTTATTATCTATGATAACTACAATTATCTAATTCTAAATAATAATAATAATAATAATATTTATTTTTCCATAACATAATTAAACATACAATGTAATATTAACAATTTTACACAAAAACATATCATTTTATTACTAAAATAGTAACTGATTATATAATAACCGAAATATTTGGCCCAACTCACCACTGTAATGTAAATATTATATATTAATATTTAGTTTATAAAGAAAAAATTAAAAATTAAAAAAAAATAATAATAATAAAATATAGTAATAAACAATTATAGAATAATAGGTAAGAAAAAGAAAAGATAGTGGTTATTTGATTTGTGTATGAAAGAAAAATATAGGATAATATGAAAACAAGTAGAAAATCAAGTTATCAATTTTTTAGTCATATTTTGTAAGAAGTTTTAATTTTGAGTATGATTGACAGTTTAAAATATGAGGAGGAACGTTATTTAAAAGTCCAAGACCTTCTTTAATGAAGTATCTACTGGATTTCAAAGTTTTGATTGTAGGAATAGTTATTTTGTCATTTTGACGAGTTGTCCAAGTGATCTGTTTGAATTCTATTATTTTTAGTTTATATGTAAAATAAAATACATTTTTATAAAATAATTGTTTTACGTGGAAAACATTCCTATCTTAAAAATGTTTTTCTGAGGAGTAGGTTGTTGGTTTGTTTAGAATTAGGTATTTTAGAAAATAATAAATTACTATTTAGTATTTTTCAAGAGAGAGCTTCTTTTTTGAAGTGCATTCAATATCAGTTATTAAACAAATATCTTCATAAAAAAAATTTAAGATCCTGGTACCCAAATTGAAACTCAAATATAAAATAATAATCATTCGTAATTTTGAAGTCTTGCAGAGTATCAAATAATTAAATAACCGAACATCGAAATGAAAAATTCTGAACTATCTAATATTTATTTATTAATAATTAACGTATACATTATTATAATATGGAAGATGAAACTATCAGTCTCTCATGAACAACAGTCCGATACGGTCGATTGTTAAACTTTTCATTCCGTTATCTTATCATTATAGTTTTAACAATACGTGTTCTAAAGAAATATCACCGTCTAAAACTATCTCTTTACAAAGAAATATCATGCAACCTGTTTATACCTAAGTTTATTTTTATAGTCATTTTAAGTTCAAATTTGGACGAAAATACATAATAAAAAAATTAGAATAACTATTTTAGTTATTTTATTGTGATTGTACAATATTATTCGTGGGTACTTGAAACTTCTTAAGTATCTATGATAGTAACAGGGTTTGTTGTTGATGTATAACGCGTTATAAGTACCTAATGGATAATGTGATATGATTAATTTGGAATTTATTATATTTACATATAATAGGTCAATTTTTTTTAATACCATAGATAAGTATATAATATATCTTATACCTAGACTGACATCGACTCGTTTCAAAATTTTATTAAATTTAAAATGTACATTAAAAATTTAGATTAACTAGTTTAAAATGTTAGTTCATACATTTTACTTAACCTGTTATTCATTGTATCTATTTTATTATTACTTTCTATTATTATAAAGACTCACCCAACCTAAAACTTATAGGTTGGATCAGAAAAAATATTATATTCAAAATTTAAATTGTATCTTGTGTTTCTGAAATAAAGTTATTATTACTATCATTATTATTATTATTATAACTAGTAACTATTAAGTATCGGAGAATAATAATTCAAGTATTCAAGCATGAAATTATGAACTGATTGTTTATAAACAATGCAATGCAAATATGCAATAGTACCAAATTTCTGGTTCCTGATGAAGATATTTTTTATTTTGTTGTCGATTTACATTCAATTTAAATAATATTATTTCATGAAATAATTTAATTAATTATTATGGAGACTGCACGACAAAATAGATGAATCTATGACGATTGGAGATCTTAGAACCAGTGAAATTATGAAGCGATTCGACAAGGTGTCAGAGTCAGCCAACGTAAATAATTGTTGTGAAAGCGGATGAATGATAACTCGGCAAGATAGTATAACACAATTTTTCTTAAGGGGGCTGCAGCAGATAAAAAATAAGTGACCTTTAGACCAATAAGCTAGACAAAAGTGGAAGAATTTGGTTTGACAGATTTTAATTTTGAAAACGGATTATGATTGATCAACAAGTTTACTAGGGAATGATCGAGGCGATTTTTAATACTTTTTTTTTAGCTGTGATATCGAAGACTAAAAAAATCGAAAAAATATGATATTTTTGTATTTTATATTTTTCATTATGACCCTTACCATAATTGGAATATTCAAAATCGTCTAGATCATTCCCTAGTAAACTTGTTGATCAATCATAATCCGTTTTCAAAATTAAAATCCGTCAAAAAAATTCTTATAGTTTTGTCTAGCTTATTGGTCTAAAAGACCCTTTTTTTTCATTGACTGAAGCCCCCTCCAGCCCCCCTAATGTTTTATGATACGGAATTTAAATATATTGAAAAACATTATAACAAACAAAATTAATGCTTTGATTGGTCAAATCTACATTAGTTTTGAATTATTGGCAAAATAAGTTTAAGCCCCTATAAGTGATTCGAATGAACATACATGTACCTGGATGTACGTCGGTCGGTTTCCTTCGAACTTTACTGTCGGTAGGTAAAGTCGCGTCAGACTTAAGCCGCACGGTGTGAATACGTTGGAAACAGTCGTGATGCAACTCGTTGCAGGGGCTTCGAAGTCGTCAATTGTGGAGCCGTACGTGACACGTGACTCGATCGGCGATAGCAAGATGGCGGAAAAAGTGTCAAGCCATGCAGAGCGTTGTTTCTCAAAGCGAGTTGGAAACGGAGAGAGCGGCAAAGCACAGAATAGACACTGATAAGGAATTATACAAGAAGCATAGGGAAATCTGATAAGTGAATTTTTTTTGGAGGAAAATCAGTATGACCATATACAAAAAAAAAATATGTTTTGGTAAATTTTTTTTTTTTATAAACCATTTATTAAATATAATAAAAGTACTAGGGGTGGGTTGCATAAACGTCCTGTAGTGACTTACCGAACCGTTATCGCACCGTTAACCGCTAACGGCTCTGTAAATAAAAGTGGGTGTTGCTTGAACGCCCGATAGTGATAACGGCTCTGTAAACTATCGACTACTGGACCTGTAAACTACGGGATGGGGGTACTTACTTTTGCCGAAATTTCAGGAAAAAAAAAAAAAAAAAGAATGATAACCCGACCTTGCCAACATCAAATACCTAAGTTCAAATTTTCAATTCAGAATTTAGTATTCCTAAATGTACCGCCTTGAAAAAATACATATTAAAATATGTATTTGTTCCCGCCTTATTGCTTAATGCTTTTGTTGTGTTTTGTAACGGTTTTTGCCGGAGGTTTTCCCAGTTTCCCATTCCTACCACCCAAGACCCAGCCAATCCTACCATTTTGATACCCAAAATATGAGCGGATGAACGGATGGACAGCCATCTGCCATTGAACGCTTGAACTTTGCCGTACCTACTCTCGTTATTCGCATGACAAAATAGAACTAAATCTGTTTTGTCATGGTTATTCGTTAACTACTGCCTAGTGCCTACTGCTTACCTACTGTGCTTACTGTGCTTACTATTGTTTACCGTTTTTCGTTTTATAAACTTTGAACATAGTTCATACCGAAAACCCAGCTCGTGCTTTCGCAGTGACGTACGTATTTAAAATTTTACTTTTGGGGTGCGGAGTTATGTTATAAAAGTGAAATAATTTTATAAAGCAGTATAAAATGCTTAATATACTCTTGCATATTATATCTCACTAGTTTAATTAAAAACAAATTTATGAAATCAAAAAAATATTTCAATTTAATGTTGAAATATTATTTGTTGATTTTAATTTACAAAATAAACCAACTGCAATTATTATGTTATTGACGTGTTAAAATGTTGGAGTCTTTAAACAATCTATGGAAAGACATAAACATGCCACTGATAATTACAAATTATTAAATATTAATATAACTCTATATTAAGTATTATGTGTACAATTAATGATTATGTCAGTTTTTCTATTGTCAATATTGAAGTTAAATACTAGAGTTTTGGGTATTCGTACCTTCGACAGAATTATCCAAATTGATTGTAACAAGGTACAAATTATTTAAATTTTTTATAATTGCAGATTTTCAAACACAGAATGCTGCTCTCAAAAATTTTCCAAATAAATTTCATGCAGTAAAAACCATGGACCTTGTTGTTAGTCATTGGCTGGCGATGGCTGTTTTGATGACACTCCTGAAATACTGAACTTAACCATACTAACTTAACCTAACTGTTGTATTACATGGTTAAACATATTTTAATGGATATTTAATGTGTTGTTCAAGGCTACTAATTGTGCAAAAAAATGGGATTATTGTAGGATGACTATAGATCAAAACTTAGTCACTAATTAGTATTTTCAAATCATTCTGGGTTTTGTAGGCCCTTATTTTAAGTTAAAAAAGTATTTAAATAGTATTCAAAGTCAAGCATAAATCATAATATTATGTCTTGAATTTAATTTTAAGATATGATAACATATAAATAATAACCCCTATAATTTAATTAACAAAAAGTTTATACTTATACTAATACCAGAATAAAAAAAACAGATAAACCTAAGCCACTTTTTACTTTTTTTAAATAATATGTTTACACATTTTGAATAGACCTTAATTGGTAGAGGTAGTGTTGTACAAGAAAATAAAAATAAAAATAAAAGTGTTAAGAGATAACTCACAAATTTTTAACTACTGGTCATACTCAAATGCCAGTTGATTCTATGCACAGTCGTATTGAGACACAAAAGCAACGTACATTGAAAAGTGGTCCAGTGTATATTCCAGCACAGTGGGTTTCAATAATTAAATTGGCTAAAAAAAATGGAAAACCGTATACTACAACTGAAATGGATACAAAAGATTTCTTCGACCTATCTATTTTATGTAATGAACTTGGAACAAATTTTAATGTTAATGAGCAAGGAGAAAAATTTTTGATGGGTGACATTGTAGAAGTGAATGTTAAAAAAGAAAAACCATTTATTGTACATTATAAGACAGATTTTTCCTACCTGATTATAAAACAATTGATATACGAAGTTACAGTAAACGGAATAAATCTTACCCTGAAAAAAGTACCATAATTATGAAACAAGCTTATACAGAACCACCAAAAATATCAATTGCAAAAAAACAAGATTTACTTTCTTTATGTCATTCCAACTTAATTCCTGAGCAGTATCATGAGTTTTATGACAAATTATCTACTGAAAATAAAGAAAGTACCAGACCAAAGTCAAGTAGTCAAATCAAATCAAACATCAAGAAAGTTGCTCCAGCAAAAAAAAATACTACAAAAAAAACTATAAAAAAAAAATTATTTTAAGGTTTTTTAATTTTTATTTAATGAGTATTTCACTAAGTATAATAATCATGAATGTTTGATTTTTTATAATTTTAATTAAAAGGACTTCATTTAAAATACAACTGAGTTTTTTTGTTAATGTTTTTAGTTACTAAGTTATAATCTACATTCTAATAGGCATTTTAAAGTAAATATTAAAATGCAATAGTGTAGTAACTAAAAAAAAATTATTTAATTGATAAAAAACATTGTTTAATAGTATTTAAAAACAGTAAATTTGTTTAAAACACTTAATATAATTAATAATATTATATAATACCAAAGTTTCAAACATTTAAATAAAATACTTTTTCTTTTATCAGTGATTTAAGATATGAAAAACTTAAAAACTCGATTTTCTCAAAATCATGCATTTTTAGTTACTACACTAATGTACTCAAAGTGCGATATGTTTATCTACTGAAAATGAAGCAATCAAAAAAGTTCATATAATATTATATCAATAATATTATATGAACTTATAATTATATTATCAAGTGCAACGATATGTATCGGCCGTTTAGACTCGGTATAATGGTGTTCATGCATTTAGATACACTTACCCAAGTAACAATTTTCAATCATTCAGATTGATAAATATTTAATTTTTATTTAATTCTTAATATTTAATTTTTAATATTATTAAGTTACTAATTAAATATTTTAAAACTAATATATGTATTGTAATATACTTATATTATGTTATAAGTTTATAAAATATTTACTTTAAAATATATTTAACTCAACTATTATTCAATATTTAACAATAATTAAAAATAAATAAATATTTATGTTAACTAATAGTGTTTTAATAAATATTTAGTAAATAACGTCATATTATTCAATAATTGTATAGGTATATATTATATAATTATGTATGTAAATAGACAATGAAAACTTTGATGGACATGAGGATTATGCCGTAATAAACAAATGAATGTATTATTTTATATCATATTATATATACATAATATACGTAATATTATATATTTAATAAATTTAAAAATAAATTTAAATTAAATTTAAAATTTAAAATAATATAATATTATTTTAATTATTATATTTATATTTATATTATATTTTTTTTATATTTTATTTACTACCAGTACAATAAGGCCACATTTCAAAAACAGCAATTGTTCAGGAAATCAAATTCAATGTTCATAGTTAAATGATAATTATTCTGTTGGCACATATTAATTATTCAGTACTGTATTTGATAGAAAATATTGTTGTGATAATGAAAGTAGGATTCATATTTTAACAAACAATAAATGTCACTCTAGTTATTTAATTTTAAAAACCAAAAGTAAAAATTTTTGTCATTGTGGCCTTATTGCACTACTTTTAGATTCTGAGTGAAACGATGAATGTATTAATTTTACAATGATGTGTGTGTTTTTTTTTTTATTTTTTATTTTTATTTGTGTCTGTCATTACGTTTTAGGACAGTAAAAGTGCTTGGATTTTCTTCAACAGTAGCTTTTCTGATAGGAAAGTGAATCTAGTTGGTACTTTGGGGTGTCAAAAGTAAAAATTCTAGTAGTTTTCACAAGCGCCGGCAAAAACAACATAAAAATTAAGGAAAAACTGGAATTTTTAAGCCAAATCGGTTTTCCAAAAAGTCGATTTTGGTTTTTGGTGTAATTCTAAAACGAATAACTGTAGATACATGAAAATTTCACTGAATGTTTATATTAGCATTTATCATAGACCATAAAATTTTTAAAATATTTTGACTCTTTTTGAACTGTTTACGGACATTTACAGCTTTCATTTTTTTTTAGTTTTTTTTTTCTATAAATATCAATAAAGTTTTATCTGTTGGGCCAAAAAGTGTAAAAATTTAATACGAGGCTCCTGATATATTTTTTCAATAGCAATTGAAAAATATTAAAAATACATAGGCACAATTTTTTTTTATTAGCATTTAAAGATCGAATTTGACAAAATTTATCAAAATTAATCGAAAATTATCAATCATTGTAATTAATAAATTATAAAATGTTCAGTTTTTATAGCTAAGGATTACAAATTTAAAACAAAGGTTCTCATAAAATATAGTTCATACTGTAACCAAAAAATCTAAAAAATATAAGAACACAGTTATTTTTTTCAGACATTTTAAATTCAAATTTGGACGAAATTACATAATAAAAAACCTAGAATAACTATTTTAGTTATTTTGTTGTGATTGTATAATATTATTCGTGGGCACTTGAAACTTCTAAAGTATACTACTATATATCTATGATAGTATCAGGGTTTGTTGTTGGTATATAACGCGTTGTAAGTACCTAATGGATATTGTGATATATTAATTTGGAATTCATTATAGGTCAATTTTTTTTAATACCATAGATAAGTATATAATATGTCTTATACCTAGAAGGACATACCGTCTCTGCTCGGAATCGTTTTTTTTATACAATGATATAATATCATTGAATTCAAATGTAATACCATCCATTATACAGTGACCCACTTGTAACCTACTGTACAGCAGAGCAACACCCACTTGCCCACCTTTTTTTTCATTTAATATAACTTTGGCCATAAATACCATAAATAATATATTTTAAATTCATAATAATAATAATATTATAACCATCCGAAAGTTAAAACGCCTTCATTCTGTGAGTGGCCACAGACTAAAAATGAATGGGCCGTATGCATAGTCATTTTAAGTAACACATAACGGATTTTAGGTGACACCTAGACCACAGAGAATTCCCGTAACTTTGCAATGCATAGTCATAGTTATAGGTCTGCTGCTACATAAAGTAATCCGTAAAGTTAAGTGGTCAATATCCATCACCTAGCCATCCCGTAAATGTTTAATTTGATGTTATCATTAAACAAACCTATAATCTATATTATTACTTGTCGTTATATAATTGTATTATTATAATTGTATTATTCCTTTTTTTAATTAGACTTTACTGTTGATTAAGTAATTTATTTATTCACATATTATGTTCTATACATACAATGACATTTTCTAAAGAAATTTTCTCTGTATAAATGAACTTAATCTACTGCAGTACTAATGCTGAATAGTAAAGTAAATTACAAAATATTAAAATTGAAGATTTTTGGTTTTCGAAAATTCATAAACCAAAAACTATGTTTCAAAAACGTTGAATTTCGTCTTTTTGAAAAATTTTAAATATACGATGGATGAAACTTATTATTATAAACAATTAATCTCCTATGTATATGACGTACCCTACGCTTCACAGTTTTCGCGTAAAACAACTCGTAATTGTTTTTGAAATTTTTGATTTTCAATTACGCTTTATCGAGAACCCGTTGGCCGAACAAATATTTTTTAGAGGTCAACATGATAACCGCAATATTTTACAATAGAAACAGTTTTTAATTTTTGCGAAATATTAAAATTGAAGATTTTTGGTTTTTGAAAATTCTTAAACCAAAAACTATGTTTCAAAAACGTTGAATTTCATCTGTTTGAAAAATTAAAAATATGAGATGGATGCAACTTATTATTATTATCACAATAATATCAAAGAATATACTTAGTAATATTTTAGGCTGACAAACCACCTCCTCTCAGAATCCTTATTCGTATAAAATGTTATTAGGTACCTATATCATTGAATTCATATTAAACACCTATTTTTAAATTTAAATTAGAATTTTTCAACATTATAGATACTGCGTACTATAAATTCATCAATTTTTGGTTTTATTTAATTTAGGCTATTTGTGGACCATCAATGGAATTCCTAGATTTGGTAGTTAGATGGCCAGGAAGTTATCACGATAGTTTTATATTAATTAATGGCAGTTATGCAAACAAATATTTTTCTGAAAATACTCATGGAGTAAAATTGCTGGGAGGCGGTGGTTAATATTAAATAATAGTTTTGTTCTCTGTTACCTACCTAACTAAAATATTGTTAATATTTAATTTTTAATTTTATCATTTTTGTAACTTATATATATATATTATGCATGTACACAGAAGTCAGAAATTGCATAAGTTCAATTAGAAAATTAAAAATGTGCACACAGATTAAATATTTAAATAATATTAGTAATTTTTTATTAGTTATTAGTACCTTTTTAACATTGGAATGAGCATTGAAATTATTCATTAGACTTAACTATGCAATGTTTTTTTTTTTGCTGTTTGTATTGAAGTCTTTTTTACTATCTTCTAATACGTTAGCCACCTTTTGGAAACAATGAAAAAATATTACTTTTTCTTCATGTTCCCAATTTAGCCCTCTTTCACGTTTTAAAATTTTGCTCTTTAAATCCATTATGTCGATTGTCGATACTCCCAAGTTTCAGATTAAAAATATCAGTCAGTAAAAACAATATTCAATTTAAAACTCGAAAGTATAATATTAATTAATAATAATTATTAATTAATATTCTGATATAAAATGATATTAAACAACTGATAAGTCAATATAAAATTTTAATAATTTATTTTATCATGTGATAAGTGATAACACCGTCAATTATCATAAATATTACTGATACGCATGGAAGAATACATTCATTTTAAGGAAAACAATATTTAAGTAATACCTAACTACGGGCTACTTAAATTTTATCTATGCAGCCAAAAATTAAGTAGCAGCTAGGTGTCACCTAGCTGCTCCATAGTTAGGTATTACCTAAGTGATTTTAGGTGCACCTTAAGTGTCGGACTATGCATACGGCCCTATGGGTAATTGAAGGGATTTCTAACTTAATGGTAGCAAG